CACACACATACACACACACACCACCACACACGCACACACACACACACACACACACACACACACACACATACCCACACACACGCCACACACGTACACACAATGTGTGTATACATATACATATAAATAAATAAATAATTATATATATATATGTACGCGTGTATATATGTCACTCCTTCTATGTAAAGTGGCAGTCCGGGGTATTCTTAGATTCTTGGGCGGCGCGATACTGCGCAGACGCACGCGAGCCTAATGGAACCGCGGGATCAAAGGAAACCGCGCGCAGACGCGCACTTCGCGTGCCCTGACGCTACTGCTGCGTGCGTGTTGTCATGACGACTCCTTCCAACTTCACGCACGCACACACGCACGCACGCACACACACACACGCACGCATGCACGCACACCGTCGCCATCCCTCCTCCGCGGGTTCGCATACTTTTTTTCTCTTCTTTCTTTTTCACGGCATCTGTTCGTCGCTGTGAATTATTCACGCGTCGCGATGACGTCATTGACGCGTGTCCGCGCCGCGAAACTTTTCATCACGTCGCGCTTTGTGCCGTAGCGCGCCAACCAGCAGCAGACAGGACGGCAATACTGCGGCAGTGCTGATCATATCTCTCGTCACTGCAGCTACTGATTATGCGCACGAGCGGGTTAGAGGAGAAACAGCGTCAGCGGCGGCGCTCGGCAGAGCATGATGCTGCTGCTGCTGCTGCTGCCGTCGTAGCAAACGTAGGAAAACGAACAACTTTTGCCGGATCGCAGGTTTTGCTTCCGGCACGGCACCTCCGCTGCCGCTGCCGCTGCCGCCGCAGACACGTGATCAGTACGTGACGACACGTGACAGCTGGCACCACGTCGTCAGTGACTACAGATGGCCAGAGAGAGAGAGAGAGCGCGGCGGTTGCGGCGACGCTACGTAGGGGAGGGGTGGAGGAGATGAGAGAGGGGCAGAGAAGAAAGGAAGGTCGATGAGAGGACGACACGAGGAGTGCTGTTTCTCTGGCGGGGGGTCGCGTATGGTAGGGAGGGAAAAGATGAGAAGGAAACGAAAAAAAGGAGCGCCATGGGAGGAAGATGATGGTTAGAAAAGAGGTGGAGCGGTAGGGAGGATTAGAATAGATGCGCAAAGCAGACTGACGGGGTGAGAAGGAGAGGAAGGTAAAGCGTTGGGGGAAGGGGAGGCGCACTTTGTTCTGTGTTACGCAATAGATACGCAAAGGATGAAGAAACAAAGCGATGAAGTAGAGAGTAAAGTATGTAAGTAAGCGCACAGATGAAGTAAAAGACAAAGACATGAAAATGAATAAAAAATATTTAGAAGAAAGAATGAATGTTAGAATGAATAAATGAAACAAAAGATAACAATAACAAGCAATTGAACAAAGTAGCGGTGTATGATGGCACCGTTGGTCAATAACGCATTTCTCGATTCTCGTCCTTCAGTAATTCAGGGTGGGCGCTCATACCGCTGGCGCACTATCTCAGAACGACAGCTAACCTGATCACTCCTCACCTAATTCTACGTATCATCGCTAGAGTGTTATAGATACGTATAGGCGTTCGCTAATGCGTCACACCGACGTCTGTAATAGAAAGATTCACGCGCGCTCCCAGCGGCTGCATAACTGTGCATCCCGATGCAACATGGGCGCTACTGGATCTCTCTCGAACATCGCGCCCCGTTCTTTTTGATACATTATACTTACCCACGTACGAACGCAGACACGAACACGCACGCACACGTATACACCTACGCACGCACACACGTATGCATAAGCGCGGCGGCGCACACGCACACGTACGCACGCCCACACGCGCGCACATACGTACGCACACGCACACGAACGTACACGTACGCACGCACACGCACACGCACACGCACACACACACACACACACACACACACACACACACACACACACACACGCACACGCACACGTACGTGCACGTACGCACGCACACGCACACGCACACACACACACACACACACACACACACACACACACACACACACACACACACCAGCTCGTACGGGTCTGCCAGCGTGCGCGCGCGCCTGTCTGACATCCACGCTCTGCACGCGCATCATAAATTTCTATCGTCGTGTACTGACCCTTGAGGACCGATACAGTGCGGCGTGTCGGGGGCGGGCATGCGTGCCCGATGGATCGTGTAAGGCGGGAGAGAGATAGCGACGTCCGTGCGTGGTCGCATCCCAGCACCGACGCGCCGACACTGCCGCCACGCAGCAGGACAATTCACAACCACATGCCGACGAAACGTGATGGAATCGATGCACGAAATCGACGTATAGCGACGAGACATTAACTCGAGCGCGATTGAAATCTCATTTGAATATCGCATTGTAAGAATATTAGAGTCACGTGAATGTACTATACTATGTTTACTCATGGCGGCGTATCTATCTATCTATAGAAAGTTTCCGATAACTATTCTATAAGAGTTTGAGCAGAGAGAGCATCACGGTTAAATAACTCTAATCAGCATGTTGGTCGTGAAGTTATAAATAATATCGAATGCGGTGATCCAACGCAGACAAAATATCTCGATCCCGTGGCCATATTTCCTCTAGTGCGTATTGATTCTCCGTTTATTGGCAATTCGCCCGAACAGAAGCTAACCGCATGGGTGTATCAGCCACGCTAATAATCAGCAATCTCGCTGCATATAGGTAGCCTCACGTAGCATATTCTAATATTGCACGAAGATTTCAACACGGTTATATCCGCTGAGGAATTTCGAGCTTGCATGTAACTACACTAACATGGCGCCATTTTTACTCATCCCTTTGAGATATACAGTACTCCGTCACCTTACCGACACGATACGCGAATTCACCACATTTAATTTATTGCATGGAGCTCATATATTATGCTATAATGTGCTAGATTATAATTTCGAGATGTTAGCATATCTCAGGATGCCGCACTGCGACTGCTTACTGTGTGGATTTGCGTCCTAATTGATTAATCATTAATGCAGCGTTAACGGCAAGTTAGTGCGCTCA